GCCCTGCAGGTGGGTCTGTGCTGACAGCTCTGAGCCTGGAGCCTCCTTTGGATGGTGTCTCCCTCTCCTTCTGCCCCTGCCCTGTGCTTGCTCGCTCGCGCTCTCTCTCTCTCTCAAAAATAAACGAACATTAAAAAAAAAATTTCTTCTCCCCTCCCCCCTTTCTAAAATTAAAAAAAAAAAAAGACGGTCTTTACTAGGGAGATGAGGAAACAGAGTTTTAAGCAAAGGAGAAAAATGATCTCTTTAAATCGGTCACTCTGGCTTTGGACTATAGAGGGATAAAAACGGAGAAAGGGAGACACATGGGGGACGCTATGCCAATCATCCATATCAGAGAGGACAGTGGTTTCATCCAGGGTGATCGTAGCAGAGAGGGTGAGAAATGGGCCGATCTTAGAAATCCTGCGAAGGTAGCGCTGACAGGGAGTGCCGATGGTTTGGTTATCAGTCGTGAGAGAGGAGGGGATGCCAAGGATGAGGCCCCAAGCTTCTGGCCTCAGGGGCTGGAAGAAGGAGGTAGTCATTTGCTGAGATGAGGGAGACTGAGACGAGAGCACGTTGGGGGCACGACTAAGGGTCAGGAGTCTAGTTTTAGACAAGTTAAATTTGTGATACCTGCACTGTTTAGCTGTTGCTGCACAACAAATTACTCCAAACTTAGTGGCCGAAAGACATCCAACATTTTAAAAAATTTCTTTGTAAAAATTAACGCACTGTGTCATGTACATTTCAGGTGTGCAATATAGTGATTCGACAATTTCATTCATTACCCAGCTCATCACAACACGTGTACGCTTAAACCCCATCTCCCATTTCCCCCGTCCCCCCAACTACCGCCCCTCTGGTAACCATCAGTTTGTTTTCTGTCATTAACAGTCTGTTCCTTGAGGCACCTGGGTGGCTCAGTCAGTTGAGTGTCCGACTTCAGCTCAGGTTATGATCTCACTGTTCCCAAGCTCGAGCCCCGCCTCGGGCTCTATGCGAACAGCTCAGAGCCTGGAGCCTGGAGCCTGTTCCAGATTCTGTGTCTCCTTTTCTTTCTGCCCCTCCCCTGCTCACCATGTCTCTCTGTCTCTCTGTCTCTCTGTCTCTCTCTCTCTCTCTGCCCCTTCCCTGCTCTTGCTGTCCCTCTTTCTCCCTCAAAAATAAACATTTAAAAAAATGTGTTTCTTGGTTTGTCTCTTTTTCATCTCTTTGTTCGCTTGTTTTTTTTTCTTAAATTCCACATGAGTAAAATCATATGGTTTTTGTCTTTCTCTGACTTATTTCACTTAGCATAATATATTCTAACTCCATCCATATTGTTGCAGATGCCAAGATTTCATCCTTGAAATATTCCATTGTGTGTGTGTGTGTATATATATATATATATATATACACACATACATACACACACACACACACACACACATATATATATATACATACCATAAATTCTTTATCCATTCATCTAACTGTGGATACTTGGGCTGCTTTCATATCTTGGCTGTTGTAAATAATGCTGCAATAAACAGAGGGGTACACCTATCTTTTTGAATCAGTGTTTTCACATTCCTTGGGTAAATACTCAGTAGTACAATTACTGGATCATAGATAATTCTGTTTTTAACTATTTCAGTAACTTCCATACTGTTTTCCACAGTGACTATACCAGTTTGCAATCCCACCAACTTTTTGTCTACATCCTTGCCAACATCTGTTATTTCTTGTGTGACTGGCTTTAGCCATTGACTAATGTCTGTTCAGGTCTTCTGACCATTTTTTAATTGGATTATTTGGGTTTTTTGGTATCGTGTTGCATAAGTTCTTCATAGATTTTGGATATTAACCCCTTATCAGATATATCATTTGCAAATATCTTCTCCCATCCAGTAGGTTGTCTTTTTGTTTCGTTGACTGTTTCTTTTGCTGTGCAGAAGCTTTTTATTTTGTTGTAGTCCCAAAAGTTTAATTTTGCTTTTGTTTCCCTTGCCTTTGAAGACATATCTAGAAAAATGTTGCTGTGGCTGATATCAGATAAATTACTGCCTCTGTTCTCTTCTAGGGTTTTTATGATTTCAGTCTCCCATTTGGGGCTTTAATCCATTTTGAGTTTATTTTTGTGTATGGTATGAGAAAGTGGTCCAGTTTACCCAGTACCATTTGTTGAAGAGACGGTCTTTTCCCCATTGCATATATTGCCTCCTTTGTTATAGGTTAATTGAGCATATAATTGTGGGTCTATTTCTCAGCTCTCTATTCCATTCTATTGATCTCTGTGTCTATATTTGTGCCAGTGTCATACTGTTTTGATTACCATAGTTTTGTACTATATTTTGAAACGTGGGATTGTGATGCCTCCAGTTTTGTTCTTTTTCAAGATTACTTTGCCTACTTAGGATCTTTTGTGGTTCCATACAAATTTTAGGATTCTTTGTTCTGGATCTGTGAGAAATGCTATTGAACACCAAACATTTATTATGTCACAGTTTCAGCGAGTCAGATATCAGGCACTGTTTAGCTGGGTGCTTCTGGCTCAAGGTTTCTCCTGAGATTGCCATCAGGCTCCTGGCTAGCGCTGTGGTCTCATCTGAAAGCTCAGATGAAACTGAGGGGGACTACTTCCTAGCTTACTCACATGGATTTTTGTAGGCCGTGAAACCTTGCCACATAGGCCTCTTCACATGGCTGCTTTATGACATGGTAGTTGGTTTTTTCCCCAGGGTGAATGATCTAAGAGTGAACCAGAGACAGCAAGCACCCAAAACAGAAGCCATGCTCTTATTACAGGATCTGAAAGGTGACATCCCCTTATGTCTGCCATATTCTAATCATCAGAAGTGAGCCAATATGCCCAGCCTACCTACACTCAGTGAACGAGGATTATACAAGAACATGGATACCAAGAGGTGGGGTTCATATGGCAAGGCCATATGAACAGTTTGAGAAAACAATCTGAAATAGGGGGAATAAATCCAGCTGGAAAGTCATTATCAGGAAAAGTACTCAAAATCAGGTGTTAAGCATCTTAGACAATCTTTTTTTTTTTTTTAAATAGTTTATGTGATGTTGGTTTCCATACAACACTCAGTGCTCATCCCCACAAGTGCCCTCCTCCATGCACATCGCCCCCTTCCCCCTCCCCCCCCAACAGTCCTCAGTTTGTTCTCAACATTCAAGACTCTCTCATGGTTTGCCTCCCTCCCTCTCCCCCCTCTATTTCTCCCCTTCTTCTCTCCCTGCTCTATTTCCCCCCTTCTTCTCCCCCATGGTCCTCCATTAAGTTCCTCCTAATCCTCCTATACGTGCAAACATATGGTATCTGCCCTTCTCTGCCTGACTTATTTCACTCAGCAAAACACCATCAAGGTCCATCCATGTTGCTACACATGGCCAGATTTCATTCTTTCTCATTGCCATGTAGTATTCCATTGTATAGATAAACCACATCTTTTTGATCCATTCATCAGTTGATGGATCCAAAATCTATAAGGAACTCACCAAACTTCACTCCCGAAAAACAAACAACCCAGTGAAGAAATGGGCAGAAGATATGAACAGACACTTCTCCAAAGAGGACATCCAGATGGCCAACAGACACATGAAACGATGCTCAGCATCCCCCCTCATCAGGCAAATACAAATCAAAACCACACTGAGATACCACCTCATGCCTGTCAGAGTAGCTAAAATGAGCAAATCAGAGAACTCTAGATGCTGGCGAGGATGTGGAGAAACGGGCACCCTCCTACACTGTTGGTGGGAATGTCAACTGGTGCAGCCCCTCTGGAAAACAGTGTGGAGATTACTCAAAAAATTAACACTAGAACTCCCCTAGGACCCAGCAATAGTACTGCTAGGAATTTACCCAAGGGATATAGGAGTGCTGATGCATAGGGGCACATGCACCCCAATGTTCATAGCAGCACTCTCAACAATAGCCAAAACACGGAAAGAGCATCTTAGACAATCTCTTAAAGAACTAGAGGAATCAACTCTGAGCTGAGTCTCCGGGAACGTCTCCCATAGACCTAGTCTGGTAAGGGATCTGCTATGGCCCCTGCTGCAGATTCCAGAGAAATTGTGCTGCTGTGTCCCCCACTCCCTGCAGTGCAAAATAGATGTCAGGTTTCCTGACCATTTCCTCCTGCAACTAACTTTCGAATCAAACTTCTCACAGGAGCATATTCTGAATGGCTGAACCGAAGTCTATGTCCTAATTACAGGGAGTTACAAAATGTGTTGTTTTTAAATGTCAATGATGGGAGGGTATAATTAATATCATGGAAAAGGACTAAAATGCAAGGAGATTGTTCAAAAGAAGTGAGACATCTATACAGGACTATAGTCCTTCTACATTCTAGAAGGAACTGAGATAATTCAGCAGAAATTGTAGATCATAAAACAAATCTAAGCACTACAAAGAGATATGGATAGTTATTACATCCATTAAAAACTCCAAATTGCTAACCAAAAGAAGCACAGAACCAGAAATTATGTGTGATAATTAACGACATGAATGCAGAAATTTAGAATGTAATAAATCATGTGGAAGAAATAGATGAGAAAATCTCTCTGAATGTAGAACAAAAAAAAAGCACAAAGAGAAAATCTGAGGAAAAAAGAAACACGTCGTCTTAATTCAAAAGGACCTACATTTAACCAAGACCACTGAGAAAAAGAAAGTAAACAGCATAAAATTATTTTGAAAACATTTAAAAATTCCCAGAACTAAAAGAAGATACTTGAAGGTCTTCCAATTATCAAGTTCATGGAGTACAAAAAGACTCACACAGTTATAATATCATGACACATCAGAACAGCCAGGATGAATGTAAGATGATGATGATGATGATAAAAACTGGTTTTTTAAGGGAGCTGACACTTCCATAGGGCTTACTACCTGCAGGCACCTGCTTCACTTTATATATATTAGCTAAGTGATTGAATCCTCACAACACTCCTTTGATTTATCATCATTACCACCATTTATTGGGTGAAAGTACTGAGAAACTTACCCACGGCTGCAGCTAGCAGGTGGCAGGAGCTGGGGCTCAAGCCAGCAGCTGGGCTTAGGACTGCTGCTTCCTTTTCAGTGGCCCTTAAATTCTAGATGGCGGTAGAGAAAAGTCTTCAAAGTTCTGGAGGAAAAGGATTATAAATGTAGAATTAATCAAAACATTGATTAGATATTAGGGGAGCATAATACATTTTCAGACAATGCAAGAACTCGGATGCACAAAAACTCATTTTCAGACATGCAAACACCATGGTGCTTTTGTTGTTGTTGTTGTTTTTAAAGTAATTTAGGGATCTACTGCGGCAAAAGGAAAAATACATTGAGGCAACTGGGTGGCTCAGTCAGTTAAGCCTCCAACTCTTGATTTCTGTTCAGGTCATGATCTCACGGTTTGTGGATTCCAGCCCTGTAATGGGCTCCACAGGACAGTGTGGTGCCCACTTGGGATTCTTTCTCTCTCTCTCTCTCTCTCTCTCTCTCTCTCTGTCTCTCTCTCTCTCCCCCTGACCTCTCCCTGCTCTCTCTCTCCCTCCCTCCCTCTCTCTCAATAAACAAACAAACTTAAAAAAAAAAAAGGAATGGGGTGCCTGCTTGGCTCAGTTGGTTAAGCATCCAACTTCAGCTCAGGTCATAATCTCTCAGTTCATGAGTTTGAGCCCCACTTTGGACTCCGTGCTGTCAGTGTGGAGCCTGATTCGGATCCTCTGTCCCAACCCCCCACCCCTCCTTCCCCACTGGTTCTCGTTCTCTCTCAAAATTAATAAACTTAAAAAATTTAAAAGAAAAAAGGAAAAATACATTGAAGAAAGACAATGCTTCAGCCCCAAGAACAGTGAAACAAACTAAAGAGGGCAAGGAAATGTAATCCCAGGATAACTTCTATGCAAATGGTCCTAGAAAGAAACCCGTGTACATGCACGTATTCAAAATGTATTAAACAGCTGGAAGATATTAACGATAGGGTAATTTTTTCTCTCAAGAAAGAAGATAATTTTTAAACACAGGGAGGAAAAATTGTACAAGAGTGTTCATTCCAAAAGTAAAACAAACTACGACACCCAGCGTGTCTTCTCAGTGACATTAATGTCTCAGTGACATAAACAGTTCAGTATTTGATGGCCTTTAAGGGAAGAGAATGGATTTGCCCTTGACTCTCACAATCTCCCCTTGAGAGGTGTGTCTGCCATAGGACAGATTTCCTATTCTGTGCATCCAGTCAGCCTGCCCCAGTCCTGCATTAAACACGGTTTATTTAAACATAACTTTCTAAACTCTGTTTCCCTTGTTAAAATCAAAAACAAACAGAGACAGGCCTTGCAAATTCCCCGAGCAGACAAAACCAGTTAGTCATACAAGCAGAGCTTAATTTAGCTTATTTTGCAAGGCTAACTTGACCTGGGTTATTTCTTGCTTATGCCTCTGGAAATCATGAGCAAAACTTAAACTGCTTTCCTAGCTTGACATGCCCTAACCACTGGCCAGTTCCCTATCATTTGGGAGAATTCTAATATTGTAAACAGTCACCGTGAAGGATGGACAGGCACTGCTTTCTCATTACAGAGGCTGCTTTGTGACAGTCTCACCCCCGAGCCTCACACTGTGTTTTGGTTTGCGAGCTCCCGGTTTGCAAACCGTCCTTTGTGCTGTGTGCACAATAAATTTTTACTAATCGCATTTCTGAACCTTTGATGTTGTTTAGATAAACTTGATAAAATAACACAGTTAACAGCACTTGGAGAAAGAGGGAGGCGTCAAGGAGCACGCAAGGGTGCTGATGTCTTTATCTTACTTTTTGGTAGGAAACCAACACCTAGAGATTAGGGACTGAGAAACAAAAGTTTAAGCATACAAGAATAAGAACCAAAATAAGAACCAGTCATTAAAAAAACACAACCAGGGGCACGTGGGTGGCTCAGTCGGTTAAGCATCCGACTTCCGCTCATGATTTCGTGGTTCATGAGTTCCAGCCCCACATGGGGCTCTCTGCCGTTGGCATGGAGCCAACTTCGGATCTTCTGTCTCCCTCTCTGCCCCTCCCCTGCTCACACTCTCCCTCTCAAAAATGAATATTTAAATAAATAAAAAACACAACCAACAAAATCAGGAGGAGGGAGCCGGAAAAGGAGATCATGTAAGTGAATCAAGCTATAGATGTTTCACATTGGCGATTAGTAGATAATTGTTGAAAACCAAGAAATCGTGAAGCAGAGGTACAAGCACGTAGTTCAAAGCTGCAAGACAGCATGGAAAAGCCGGCCCTGAGAGTCGAGGTGGCTTACCTGTGAGCAAGGGCGCGGGGGATGCGGAGCAAGACTGAATCTCCATGTTGTTTGAATTGTAATGGTTTAATCCAACACTGTTTAAATGTCTCACTGCTTAATTGTTTGAATTTCCGCGTGCATCTTGAACAATCCAAAAAGGGTGATGCTCCCACCAAAAAAAAAAAACCCCAAAAAAACCAGGGAGATGTGCAACCAGGGCCCACCACACTCATAAGCACCGGCCACCTTAATCCCACTTTAAAACTTCTTCGGGCAAGGAACTCGATTCCAAGAGGCAGATTTTTCTGTTTGGAGCCAATTTACATTCTTCCCCTTGTGCCAAGGCAGGGATGAGGTCTGTGTCTGTGCCAACCCGTGGATCGGGCCAGGAGAGGGGCTGCAGGGAGAGTCTGATGCTATTTCCGAAGAGATACAGGCTGACGCTGCAGGAAGCGAGCCTCAGCACGAGGCATTCTCCCGCTGCTGTGTGGACGCTGCCTGGCGCTGCCCTGGACGGAGCTTTGTTCTGGCCTCGCAAGTTCTGCGAGGGATCCCCTGGGAACAGCGCCTTCAGAGCAGCCCCGGTGGGGTCCGAGGAGAGCCTGGCGGCAGCAGCAAGAACAACCTTCCTCGAGAGGAGTCCTGAGCTTTGAGCAGGAGCAAGGCGATCCCCAGCTGAAAAGCCTTGAGAGGCTGGGCTGTGGCTGAAGTGGAGTGAGACCCCCCAGGGACACCTCGAAATCTCTGGGTGAGACTTAAGAAGGGAGTTGCTTCGGGTATGTAAATTGAGTAATAAGCAGGAATCATCTGCGTATGTGCTGTAAACACAACGTAAACGTGAGACCTACTTTTCCTCACAGGCTGGGGAGGTCTGGGCAACCTGTATCAGATTTCCCCTGCCTTCAAAGGTCATTATCGTCATCATTATCATCCTGTTGTGCACAGACTCCGTATCACAGCACTTGGGCTCTATCTCAGTTTGTTTTCGGATGCAAAACATTTTCTCTGGGTCCTATTCCAGCTCCACAGTGCTGGCCCTCCTACCCAGTGTGGCCCAGACACTGGCCGCATTAGCAGCATCCGGGAGCTCGTTAGGACTGCACAATGCTGGGCCTCACCCCAAACCTAGGGAGCCAGAATGTCCATTGTAACAAAATCCTCCTGACCCGCACCCCTGGGATGTATCTGTACATCAAAGTACGAGAAGCCACGCTCTTGAGGAGTTCTTAACCAGGCTGTTTTAAAAATCCCCCAGATGCTGTGAAAACATGTAGCTACCTGGGCCCCACCTGAGTGCAAGTAAATCAGAATCTCTAGGCGTGGCTCCAGGTGGCAGCGGTTTATAGAAGCTTCCCGGTGGTTCTAATGGTCAGCTAGCATCGAAAACCTTTCCTCAAACGTTCGGCCTGATTAGATTTCAGGTAAGCTTTTAGCACAACTGCCCTCCTCCCAGATTCAGATACTCATCCCTCCTCCTTCTCTCCTCCATGGGCTTACCTCCTTCTGGTTCCCTTTTTCTCAGTAAATGATTTTTTGTCCAGTGATAGATGGGAGTCAGCCGTGGAGGAAGACAGGAAGTGAGCGCAGCTGATAAAGTGGAGAATGAAGAAACCAGACCTAACGCCAGCAAACACTTGTGTCTACGCAATGAGTGATGGGGAGAATTATGAAGGAACTTGATGGTTGGGCAGAAATGTTCATTTGAGGGTGGGGAAAAGGGAAGCCATTAAAGACTGGAGAGAGGTGGAGGGAATGGAGAGACGATATGATGAGATAAAGTTTAGTTTGATGGACTGAATCTGCATCTGAAAATACGTATTTACCCACTTCCCACCAAACGCTGAGATGATGGCAACTCAGGCATTCTCAGAAAACTACCTACCAAGGTGTTTCCTGTACAGATCTGCTCTGGAGCCAGTAATGAAATCCAATAAAGCCTTGCTAATTACACTCTCTAATGAATCCTGAGACTACCTGCTCTAGTCCAGAGATATATATAGTCAATAGCTGTGTTAAATAGTCTCAATTACTTACATATGGTATCTAATTTTGGTGTTAATTGTAGCCATTAACCCACACAGAATAGTTTTAAATTTCTGCAGGATGGTTAATGTGCCGATTACTCTGAGGCCACTAACCACATTTTCCTTTGCCCTGAAACTACTCAACCTTCTGGATAAATGGCCAAGAAGTCTAAATTTCTTCCTCATGTAAATGCTTCATAATATCTTTGAATTAAAACTCAATCACCCCCACCTGTGTTTCTCCATCACAAAGGTGACTGAAAGAGAAGGACATTTGTTATTCGAGCTAGCAGCTTCAGAAGCCAACAATTGCCTCCAGCTAATCAAGTCATCTCCACTTTCCAGACAAAATGGGCCCAAAACATCCATGTTTTTAATCCTTTACTTCTGTGGGCATCTATTGTGAATAGACTGGAGGCACCATCTTCTAATGGCGCATTCCAGTGGATGTGATTGATATGGTTGGATCAAAGACAGCCTATGCCAATAATCTGATCAGAAGTAGCAACTGAAGTTGTATTTACCTATGTTTTGTTGCACACCAGGGCTTAAGGAGAGAGCATGGTATGTAACAACCATAAAACAAGTTAGAATAGATATTGCCCAATCTATGTCTGATAGAGGATTTTGAAGCCTAGAAAGTACAGTGAAGAGCTCTTGTCCTTCGTGTTCCTGAGCATTTCACCCAGGAGGTATCACTTGCTCACCTTATAAGGATGCAGGAAATCTTTAAGTCACTATCCTGTGACAGTGTCAATCAATTTAATGTTAGCACTAATGACAATGACAGCTGGTAGCCTACGTGATGAGAACACCACAGGCATAGAGATACCCTCTGTCATAACCACTAAAGGCAAGCAAATTTCCCTTGAAAACTACATTTAGAACATGCTTTTGGAAGGCCAAGGTTGCTTTTTCGGCAGGACACACAACCTTAAAAAAACCCAACAACAACAATAATAATACATGTTTGCTGCAGAAAATTGTATTAATATAGAGAGGAACGAATAGAAAAGAACATCATCTAAAATACCACCGTGAGATAACCAATGTTATTATGCCGATTACAATCGGTTTTGATGTTTCCTTTCAGTCTCTTAAAAATGCACAGCTGCACATCACACATATATTTATTACCTTTCTTCCCCACCCCCACCCACTAGTCCTCCAGCTCAAAGGCACTGTGAGTCCCGTGGTAGCCCCTTTGCATTTCTGTCCCCAAAGCATGCCCATGACCGTTAGGGAAGGGGAAAGTTGGGGCCTTCATTTGAGGCTTCCTGATGTTCAAGGGATCCACAGTGAGGGGGTGCTCATGGTTCACTCAAGGTAGGACAGGAGGCTAGCCTCTCCAGTGACTCTTCCCCTAGAGCAGATATACCCTCCCCCAGAGCAGATATATCCTCCCCCAGAGCAGATATACCCTCCCCCAGAGAAGATCGGAAGGCCTTTAATGAATGATTCAACAGTTGCTTTAGTCAATTGGGGAGAGAGGGAGAAGCTGATTAGCAGCACGCCCGGCTTCCTATGCTTGTACTGTACTAAGCCTGCTGTCTGCACGGGTGCCATGAGGTGCCCAGGCCCCACGGCGGATTCCATTAATGGGGTCGAGGTATCAGTGTTAGTTTTAGGCGCTCGGCTGACTGTAATGTGTACCAGTGAGAAATATTGGCAAGGTCTTCCGGGCTGTGCCATGTGAACTCCACTCATACCCAAATTCTTCCCACCTCTCCCTTCTCCCACTACACTGCCACTCATCCCATAGAAACAACAAGATCACTAAGCCCTGCCCCTTTTGCAAATTTCACAGCTTGTGCGTGATCTTCAGGTTGCTGTTCTCCTTGTAGTTTCTGTTGGCTCCATCAGGGGCAGCAGCGAGCACAGGGCTCCGTGATGGCGGACACCAGCTTGTGGGGGTTGAGATGGAGACCTTCGCAGCATGAATACAGTAGAGTTCTGATTGGTTTTCCTAAAATACGATCTGAAATTATAGACCTGACCTTTGTGAGGATTCGTTTCCTTCCTGAGGTATTGACGTCTCACTGCCCGGGGTTGTATTTATTTCTTTGCATTAAGTTAGCAGGAAAATTGATAAACCCCAGTGGCTTGTTTCTCCCTAGTCCCTGGGTGAGGGGGGTGATGGAAGGCAATCCACCATAAGTAAGATCGACCTGCATATATCTTGATGTTTTCCCACTTAACCTTGCAAGAATTTCCCTCATGTCATGAAATGTTTTTGGAAGCAAAAGATTGTACACAATGATAAATATTTTACATATATTTTGCAAATTGTGGGCCATAATTTTTTTAAACTATCCCTCTACTGTTGGACATTTAGCTTATTTGCAGCTTTTATTCTTAATCAAGAACTGCTATGAGTTTTCTCATATGGAAATTCTTGGCCCTTTCACAGATCATTCGCCATGAACCACAAGTGCCTCATTTCATCCTTTGGATGCTCCTCAATGCTAAGGGCAGGAGTGGCTGCACATATGGCACTTGATACAAGCTTGTTAATTTCACTTATGGTTTAGATCAGCTTTCACTGGGGCCTAGAAAACCTGTCTCTTAAATATTAAGCTATAAGAAATCACAAGATTGTGCCAAACCCAATTAGCATCTACTGTGACCTCCTCACTCTATGAACAGGCATCTCACATTTTGTTATATTCAACTTCTGACATGCTATTAGCAGAAACCATTCAGGCACTAGAGAATCAAAAGCCAAGTAATAGTTTTTTAAAAACACTTTGCAATGAATGTGTCACAAACACTTATTCATGGCGACAGCAACAAAGTCCCCTATTCAAATGATGTCCTTTCAAGAGGAACCACCCAACAAACCCTAGCCAGTATAAGGTCCCTTCCTGCTGCTCCTGGTGATGAGGCATACTCCACTGTATGCAATCATAGCGTCAAGTTCCAATTTGACGATCGGGGGTACAAACTGCACACACATGCACATGCACACAGGACACACACATGTGTGTGCACACACTCACACTATGTATATGATGATGGTAATCCCCTAACAGCTACTATGAGAATCAACTGTTGATTCACCAAGGAAGTCGAACCAAGACAGGAGACCTACTACCAAAGCTACCTGACTTCTGCCTTTGGGAGGAAAAAACTTCTGGAAATCACCATTAAAGCCTTTAGTTTCACCATCACAATGAAGCAGGTTCAATCCATGTGGGACTGGCCCAGAGCTGTTCATGGCACGCAAGTTAGCTTGACCAAAATGTAGACTGAATCGTTTTACCGGCATACCTTTATTGCACTTTGCTTTCTTGTGCTTCACAGATACTGCGTTTTGTTTTTGTGTTTGTGTTCTCTTTTGTTTCACAAATTGAAGCTTTGGAGGCTTGGATGGCACCATTTTCCCAACAGCATTCACTTACTTCCTGTGTCTTGTGTCACATTTTGGTAATTCCTGCAGTATTTCAAACTTTTCAATTACTACTATTCAATTGCTACCATCTCATGATATTATTTGAGCAGATGAGGGGTTGCTTCTTATGGGTGATCAAAGAAAGTGGTTGCTTGAGCTGGAATCTATTCCTGGTGAAGATGCTGTGAAGATTGTTGACATTACAACAAAGGGCTTAGCTGTGAAGCAGTGGCGGAGTTTCAGAGGATTGACTCCAGTTTTGAAAGAAGTTCTACTGCGAGTAAAATGCTATCGAACAGCATCGCATGTGACAGGGAAATCATTTGTGAATGGAGGAATCAATCGATATGACAAACTTCACTGTTGTCTTATTTTAAGAAACTGCCACAGCCGCCCCAACCCTCTGCAGCCAGCACCCCAATCAGTCAGCAGCCATCAACATTGAGGGGAGACCCTCCACCAGCAAAAGACAAAGTCTTGCTGAAAGCTCAGATGTTGGGTAGCAGTTTTGGGCAATAAAGTATTTTAAAGTTTATTTATTTATTTTCAGAGAGAGAAAGCACGAGCAGGGCGAGGGGCAGGGAGAGAGGAAGAGAGAGAATCCAAAGCAGGCTCTGCACCATCAGCGAGGAGACCAATGTAGGGCTCGAACTCACGAACCATGAGATCGTGACCTGAGCTGAAACCAAGAGTCAGAGGCTTAAGCAATTGAGCCACCCAGGTCCCCAATAAAGTATTTTTTAATTAAAATGTTTTTTAAAGACATTTTAATTGCAGACTTACTAGACTACAGTATAGTGTAAATGTAACTTCTATACGTACTGAGAAACAAAAAACTTACTAGACTCGCTTTATTGCAGTATTTGCTTTATTGTGGCAGTCTGGGACAGAGCCTGCCGTGTGTCCGAGGTGCGCCTGTACAGCGTTCAGTCCCCTCCTACCATTTGTTTAACGCTGTTTCCAACACTTGCCATTTGCTACAGCATGCATCTCTCCTGGCCCACTCACCACTCTCTGGTGAATACTGGCTTCTAGGGATTTTCTCAAAGGTTGTTACTGTCCTTAACCACAAACACTAGTCTTACCTCAAGTGTGCGGGAAAACGTGAATGATAATGTTTTCTCCTGCTAAATCTCCCATTTGGAATCTTATAGCATAAATGTAGAACAGCACATCTTTCAGCCATGTCTTCTC